GCAACTTGGTTTGGGAGAGAATCATCAGCGGATGCTAAATCGGGGGAGAGGGGATGAGTTTGCAGTGAGATGTGCGTGGTCTTCAAGTGTGGCCGCTAGGGTTGTTTAAGGGCACTGGGGAAAATGAGTAACTGCAGTGAAGAAGTCCATCAGTACCTTGTCTGGGTGATCAAAATTCACATCACGAGCCATGGGAAATTAGACATGGTTCGCCTCTGGTTATGATACGACTGAAAGACACATCACTTAGAGCAGGCTGGACAGTTTTTTTCTCTAAAGGTTCAGATAGTAAATATTTTAGGTTTTGTAGATCACCTCGTCTATGTTTCTTCTACTCAATTCTGCCATTGAAATTGTAAAACAAGCCATAGATAATATGCATGTGAATGAAGATGCCTGTGTGCCAATAAATCTTTATTTATAGAAATGAGCGGTGGGCTAGATTTGGCCCATGGACATAGGTTGCCAACCCCTGGCTTGTAAGGATTCTGAGTGGGGACACAGGCCTAAATCGAATCATCAAGCAATAGCATACAAACCCGTAATGAGGAACCTTTTATTTTAAAAGGGGAGAGCTTTATTCTTCAGAAATGTCTGTGTCATGAGGGGCAAAGAAAAGCTGAAAACTTGTTCCCAAGTAAAGGGGGCTCAGTATGCATGGCAGCAGAATGCTGTGGGTGATCCCATACTGGGCTCCATACGGGACAAACCAGCGCCGTCAAGGACATGACGGGCTCATCCCACAAGCTGACATATATAAGTGTATTACAGCATTGCAGAAATGTTAGGTCTTCCTGATGTTGATAACTGTAATACAGTTATGCAACGTGCAAATCTTTGTTCTTAAAGCATACATTACAATATGTATGGGTAGTGGGAATGAGGTAGACAATTATTTTGTGCAACTCTTGGTAAAACACATGGGCCAAAATGTTAATATTCAATAATCAGTGAGATCTGAGTAACGGGTGCATGGGAATCCTTTACTCTTGGAACTTGTTTGTACCTTTGAAATTATTTTTAGATAAAGCGCTAAAAACAGAGGAAGTAGATGTGTGTTTTTATATCTGGTTGTGTAGGATATATAGTTGACATGACATTATAAGACTCCCTGTGAACTTGCTTTGGAAGTAAAGGAAACGTCAGTGTGTCCCTTTTGCTATACTTGGAATTCTGGCTTTTAGGGCATCTGTGTACCTCAGAGGGGAGTTACCGGGTGGTTTTACTAACTTGGACCATAAAGCTCTTCTGGGTTAGTCCTGAGGGAAATTTATTTCACTTTACGTTAGCAGTACCTCATAAACTTCCTAAGAATTTCCGTGTGAGTCTCAAGGTTTGTATAATATTAATGCTTTGCTTTAGTATTTTTCATGCTTTTAGAATCTGGGAGGTATATTGGGAAGCCATCATTAATATCATTTTATGTTAACTTTTATCCTTTTGACTTGAAAACCATTAAATATGATGTTTTTTAGGAAGTTAATTTTTTCTTCTGTAAGTATAGATGATACTATGTGGCTCTATTCTCTTCAGCTCTGAACATTATATACTTTCATGATCCCGTGGTGACTTTCAAGTGTAAGTGGAACTTTGCTTTTCAGCAGGCTGGTATCTGAAAAGGTAGACCTGCAGAACAGGTGTATGACATGGTGGGAATTAGGAATCTTCTACAGCAGAAATCTCCCCTTTAAAAATAGTCCATAGGGATAATAAAAAACCAACTTTTATTGTGCCTAAATTAGGCCTGGCGTTTTTTGTGGAGCTTCATTTGTGAAGAACTTGACAGGACTAGTTAGGTAAACAATTTCAGCATAGTAAGTAACATGTTTTAATAAGTTGCTATTGATACATCTGTGAGGCAAAGCCTGCTGTTAACATCATATACATTTTTATATTTTCTAAGTGAAAATATCACAAACGACTTTAGTTTTGGTAAATGAAATTATCATTTTTTATTATTATTTATGTGCTTTTAAAACTTTATAAGTGACATAAATATATATATTTGAAAATGTGCATGGGTTATATGAAAAGGTTTATTATGTGTGCATTCAGGATGCAGAAAATTCTGGTCTTTCTCTGCTTAACATTCCCTCAGTGATGGACGTATCAGTCCCTGAAAAGACAGCTGTTCTGTTTTACATTTTTAAAAGTTAAGAATTTATATTTGGAAGAAATATGCAGTTGTAATTTGTACTTGTTTTTTCATGGTAATGTAGAACTCTACACATGAAATTTAATCACTCTTCCACATCCTGGCCCTATTGAGATTTGTTATTTTTCATTTATTTTTTGATTCTGTAGACAGGCATCCCTATTTCCTTCAGTCTTCACATAAAAATTATCCTATTGATAATGCCTTGTATCAACACAGACATTAATGATGTAAGGGATGTTTTCTAATAAATAATAATAATAGCAGCTAATGTTTATTGAAGCCGTACTCTGTGCTGGGTAGTGGTGTAAGCGCTTTATACATATTAACTCCTCAAAGTGAACATGCAAATATATGTTCTTTTAACTCCATTTTACAGATAGGGAAACTGAGGCACAGATGTCTCAAACTGACCATTGATAACTCAGTAAAAGGATTACATAAGTATAAAATGCACATTGTCATTGTCACCCTCTCTGGACATATTGTACTTCATAATGGCCTATTCAACCTTAGCAGGGCTTAATAGAGCACGGTGTGTTACCTAATGTGACATCACTATTTTCCCTTGTTCTGGATTTGATATTTTATTAGCATTTTTAATGCAACCTAAATTTGTATTTTATACTAATATTACTATGTTGACTTGTAGCTAAAAACAACAAAACTTCTTCCTTAGTCTTCAGTTTTTGTTTCTTATATAACTGCTTGCTGTGAAGCGAGGTATACTCTGTCCTGTACTCATCTGTTTAATGGTGTGATATCAGTGAAGGGCTTCACCTTTATTGTTAAAATAGTTTCAGCCAGTCATCGCTTTTGCTCACAATTCTGGTACCTAAAGCTTTAGTTAGCTCTCCCTTGTATTAGGTCAGCGGTCATATAAGAAGTACACCTTCTTTGCCATCATCCTATAACTTGACAAAAAATGTTGACAAGTAAATTGTGAATGTTTAGTGAGCCAAAATCACACTTTGCAGTGTGTGCACATTTCCAAGTGTGAAGTAATAAAAATCTAGTGAGAATGTGCATCATAATTAATTTTAGATTTCAAGTTTATCACCTGTATCTGAGCAAAATTATTTCCTTAATTTTTCATCTGAAACTATCACATTGCCTGTGGGTACTTTGACTGAACTGCTCATGACTAAACCTTGAGAAATACGGCTGTAGTATTTAAGAGTCCACACTTTGGTGTTAGGCCTGTGTCATGATGAACTGCCCATTACTACTAGTAAGGTGCATATATATTTTTAAACTAAACTTTGACTTTTGAGATAATTTACATACACTTGTAAAAACTAACACTGTAATCCCATGTTCCCTTTAGGCAGTTTTCCTTGGTGGTAACATCTTGCAAAAATATTGTATATTACGATCTAGATATTTACATTGATGCAACCTCATGATCGTGCTCAGATTTCTCCAGTTTCATTTGTGTGTGCATATATATAAGTTCTATACAATTTTTTTGCATGTTGTTTCGTGTATCTACCACCATAGTCAAGATACAGAATAGTTCTGTCACCCTAAGGACCCTTCGAATTGCTTTTTTTTTTTTTAAATCATCACCCTAGGGCATGTTTATTGATTTGAGAGAGAGAGAGGGAAAGAGAGAGAGAGAGAGAGAAAGAGAGAGAAACACGCAGGTTGCCTCCCGCATGTGCCCCTACCAAGTATCTAACCCACAACCTAGGTATGTGCCTTGACTGGTGATCAAACCTGCAACCTTTTAGTGTGTGAGATGACGCTCCACCCAAGTCACCTGGCCAGGGCCTTCACATGGCTCTTTTAAACGATGCCCCCCCTCCCTTCTACTCTCATGCCTCTCTCATCCTTAGCCCTTGGCAATCACCGATCTGGTCTCCATTTCTATAATTTTGTTGTTTTTCAAGAATGTTATATAGTTGGACCATTTGCCTTTAAGGTAACTTTGATATATTAGTGCCTACGTCTGCTGTTTCATTATGTGTCTTGTTTCCTGTTGTGTGTGTGTATGAGCCTGTTTCTGTTTACTTGCTTCTTGTAGGTTATTTGAACAACTGTCAGAATTTCATCTTGACGTACTTACAACATTCTTGAGTGTTACATCTTTGTATAGTTTTCTCAGCGGTTGCTCTGGGTATCAACAATACACATGTGTAACTAGTTATAATCTCCCAGTATCAGCGTTTTAAAGCTTCAAGTGAAGTATGGAAGCTTTGCTTTCATTTGGATCCCCTCACCTTCCCCACGTCTTAATATCATTGTCTTGAGTGGCAGAGGATGTTATAATTCCTGTTTTCTCCATCAAATATGATTTAGAAATCTCATAGAGGAAAGGATAGCGTGTACTCATATTTCTGCTCTATTTGTTGATCTTTTCTGATGCTCCAAGGTTCCTTCTTTTATCATTTCATACATGGTTGAAGTGACAAGGGGCCAGCACAGTTTTAAAGGCTGAGACCCTGTCTTTTTTTGTCATCTTCGTAGTATCAGTGACTAACTCAGAGCCTGTTACATAGTAGGCTCCCATAAACTATTTATTGCATCTTTTTTTCAGAGTTATTTACTTAGAAATACAGAAATGTATTTGTAAGAATGAAGTTTGCCTTTTCCTCTTGCACACACAAATTTGGCATTTTCAACATTTCAGTTTGCTCTTTGGAAAGACAAGTCTTACTCAATTTCAACTTCTAGTACCTAACATAGTAACTAGCACATATTTCATAATTGTTCCTTGACTAAATTGAATACTGGTTATACTGCACTCATAAAAATGTGGTGTTAGAATTAACTTGCTAGTTTGGTAGGTATTATTTTTTTAAGCACTACTTGAAGTTCACGGTTTATCTTCTTTCTCTTACAGCATCCAACACTTGGCTTGTTTCAGAAACGAAAGGAGCTATTGTTCAAGGTGGATATGGTCACACCAGTGTGTATGACGGAATAACAAAGTCCATTTACGTTCATGGCGGCTATAAAGCATTGCCAGGCAACAAATATGGATTGGTAGATGACCTTTATAAGTATGAAGTTAACACTAAAACTTGGTGAGTATATGAAACAGAAGTATGTTCAGAAAATTTATCACTGTTACATTTTATGTTTGTAAAATAATGGTGTTATAGTAAATATTTTCAGTGAGTTGCTCTTGAGCTTTTCCCATCTTTATTTCAACTAATGATATTCTCTTATATAGCAAAGGCACCAAATAATAGATTCTCTGTGCGGCCATCATTACTGTAAATGATTGACTTTAAAGTGCCTTCAGATCCTGTAGATATTCCGTAAGCATTACTTGTACTTAGCAGTGCTGATACTATGTTTAATTCAGACAGGAAATGTTGCTTGCCAGACTCTTAGGATTGTTATTATCTGTCTTGGGATTTGTTCTTCAGTGCACTCCTATTGTCATTTATAAATTTTAAAAATGTTTCTTCAGTTCTAACCTCTCATTTCCTGTGAAATACAAAACTTGTGACATTTAGCTAGATTTTCCTTTTTTGTTGTTATAAAAATGCTACATTGTACACCTTGTACTGGTCTTCTTATACACAAATGCAAGAGTTTCTCTGGGGTACATACTTAAAAATGAGGATATTCGTATCCTCAAATTTGCTACATGGTGCCTAATTGCTCTTCAGGTGGCTGTGGTAATATCTGTTTCCACTAGCAAGGTTTGAGTGTCCCTGTTTCTTTGTGTTCCCACTAACACTTGGTAACTGTGAGCATATTTTCGTTTTGTCAAAGCAATGGGTATGAATGATATCTTGCTCATATTTTAATGTACATACCCTGATTACCATTGTGAATAAGCATCTTTTTATGTGTTCATCTATCACTTGCATTTCCTGTTTATTGAATTGCCAATTCATAACCATAATGTTCTCTATATGTTTGAAATAATTGTTACTTTTTAAAAATTTATTAACTTGGAGAATGATTCCTTTGTTGTTTTAAGACACTACACATTCTTTTGAACTTTTAGCGTAAAATTCCTTTATGTGAAATGAAATAGAGTTTTCTACCAAATTGTGATTTGTTACACCTCCTTCACTTTCAAACATATATTTTAATTTTTACCTTATTTGAAGAAAGAAAGCTGGAACTTCTAAAAATTAGGACTTCATCTTTGGGCAATTTTGTTAATTTTCATTGTTTTTTAGTCTAATAAAATACAACACTATTCTTTATATTTTTATAAATATTAAAATTAAAAAATACTTTTGTTTTATGTAAGTTATACATTGTATTTTATATGCTATTTTAATATTTCTACCGTTTTCTCATTGACTTTTTGCTATGATAAAAGGAGGAATTGTGGTGTAGTGTAAGGCACTATCAATCTCCTTAATGTATTTTTGCATATATTGCAGATATTGTATCATACCAAAAAAGCAAGGATAACTGCTCCTGCATGATGTAGTTCACAGTAATAGTAATGAGCCCTGCAGTGCTCAGGCAAGGAGCTTAATGAAAGTGAATGAATAATAGAGACATGGATATTATTTGAATAAGAGCAAAATGAGAGGGTTAGTTGTGGCTTACCATGTGAACGAAATTTGCTCAGATTGGACATGATTACCTGAAAATTACCCACAGTGAAATTTTGCATAAAAGGGTATAATTATCAACCTTAGCATTTCTAGCTTATGCACAAGTGATATTGTATACTTGTCCCTTAAAGGAATTTAATAAAATTATTTGTAAGTTATTTTGAATACCTCCTTACAAATGTTATAGATACATATGATGCTTTCTTATTTTCCTGGGTTCTGCATTAAAAAAAAAAAGACTTGTAAAATTATTAGCATTAAAATGGTGTTTTTCAATTTGTAGCCTTCTTAAAGTTTTGGTGCTTTTTGTTAGTTTATTTTTCAAGTTTGCTATTATGTATGGATTATAGTATGTATCAGCTTTATTTGTCAAGTGTTATGTAATTTTCAAATGTTGCTATTATGTGTCTCTTGTACACATTAATTTCACATTTTTGCTGAATCAGAACTGGTTTTATTTTTTAGTAGATATAGTTTAGTAAATAGGCTTCTTTGTTGAGATACTCAAAAATGTGTGTTTGGAGGAATTCTTTTTCATTGACGGGATGGGTTATTTGGACTATTTCCACTGGAAAAAAATTAGGAACTACATCTTTTGAAGGCATCAGTGCACTACTGAGGAACTGAGAGTTTGTGGGTTGAGATCGAGGAGAGATAGAATGCCAAGGAAAGTAAGATTGGCATTTAGAGCAACTTTTGTTCTTGAGACAATTACAAATCTTGAAAACTATCTGAGAACTTGAGAGAGCTTTTGTTGATCAGTGTGAAGGACCAACATTGGGTTTCCCAATATGCCAAGGAAGAGGGGGCTGGCTACACATGTAAAGATTTAGCCTGGTCCCTGAAGTTATAAATCTACTAGTAGGATAAGCTCACTTTTGAATTGTCATGGTCTTTCATTGGATTATGGTGATCTGCGCTTATATAGTTGGCATAGCAAAAGTCAGTCCTTACTTTAGGGAGATAATAATACACAGAGTCTCAAATTATTTCTTTATTATATCATATGGAATATCAGGTATAAAATTGAAAAACTACAGCTTAGAAAAAGCAAGATATGAAAAAAAACATACCTATAGGACGATGGTAATTTTAGAAACTTTAAAATGATTAAACTTTTATTTTCAAGGAATTTAAATATAAAGTAGAAAGTATTAGCAGACAACTGGAAACTTTTGCTAAAGAATCAAATGGAAATTATAGGAATAAAAAATACATTTAATGAATTAAGAATTCCTTGGATGACTTTAACACAGCCAAGGAAAGAATTAATGAAATGGAAGATAGGTCAAGGAAAACACATATTGAAATACAGAAAGACAAAAATAAAAATTAAAAGCAGAAAAGAGGTATAAAGAACATGTACACATGGTCTACCATATATGTAATTGGAGTCTAGAAGAAGAGAAAATAATATACAACACTATTTGAATTCTCATTTACTGACAACTTTCAAAATGACAAAAGACATCAAGTTATGAATTGAAGAAGACCGTGAGCACCAAGTACGATAAATACAAAGAAACTTGTGCTTAGAAATATCACAGTAAAACCAATGAATTCCCAAACAGGAAGAGAAATACATTAAGGCAGCCAGAGGTAATAAAAGGCATATTTCCTTTAAAAGAGCAACAAACACTAAAGCAGCACTAAGACTGACAACTGATTTCTTCGCTGAAAAAAAAAAAAATGGATCTAGAAGACATGGTGTCTTTAAGTGACCGAAAAAATATGACTGTCAGCCTAAAATCTTGCAGCCAATGAAATATCCTTTAAAAATGAAAGCAAGAATGAGGAGATGGTTCTCGCATGTGTTGTGCGTGTGTGTGCGTGTGTGTGTGTGTGTGTGTGTGTGTGTGAATGAGAGAGCAAGTGAGTGAGTGAGTATGTGTGGAGGGTACTCGCTAGTTGCTGGTGACCGCCCCTTCACGCTCCCCCTCTGCCCTTCCCCTTCCCCACCGCTGCTGCAGGGGCTCCCTGGGCCATAGGAAGTAAGTGAGAACGATGACAATGAGGTGGAGAGCAACAGAGAGCAACTGAGGTTTCAGCCTGCGGCTGACACACAAGCTCATCATAACACACGGGAATGAAAATGTAGGGACCACATCAAAGGCAGCTTTCACAGCGTGCAGGACCGGTCCCGCCACTCCAAGGACAGAAGCCAGACGGGGCCCAGATCCTAGACAGACCCCCAGAGTATATCCAGTATATGCGAAGGACAAACCACGCACACCAGCAAGATAATGACGGCCTTGTTCTGGACCAGCAAGTCGGTGCGCTAGAGAAGGTGGTGGGGTCCAGTGCCCAAAGGCAGACCAAGTCGTCCTCCTCAGACAACAGCCTCTACGCCAGTGCCAAGGGCAGCGCCATCTCTGCCTTGGGTGGGGGCTCAGGCTACGGCTCAGAGTGGGAGCCTGAAGGGCCCGGAAGCGGGATGAAACTCCGGGTGGAGGCCAGCTAAGCTCCGCAGGGGAAGGCCAACAATGAAACTGCCTCCTCCATCATCTCATCCTCTTCGGTTCATCCTTAGAATGCTCAGAACCATCTAGAAGGCTCTATTTTTTTTCTTTCTCTCTCTTTTTTGAATTTTATATTTACATAGAAGTTCTTAGACAACAGCTCTCATCCTCCTTCCCCATTTCCACAATTTTTTTTTTAACGTTTCCCTTCAGGGATTTCCTGACCCCACCAGGAATTTTTAAACCAGAACACCCCAACTTGGCAGCTTTTTCTGTGGAGGACAGACAATAGGCTGGACCTCTGAGCGCCTGGTGTCCTGACCAGCCACCAGCTCCTGCGAGGACCCCTGCCCCTCCTAGGCCTTCCCCCTCCCAGCCCCCGCCGGGCTAGGCTCGCCTCTGTCCTCCAGGCTTTGTGAGTCTGTGGACTGCTCTCCTTTAGGAAGATGATTGGTTTAGAAGTAATCAGAATGACTCCCTCATCCTTCTAAGGACTTTTTAATTTTTTTCCTAAAAAACCATTTATCACTCCTGTTGAAAGACCAGATCCCTGAAGAAGTTTGTGATATAAAAGGAATTGGGGGCAGATTTTCAGCACAGAGCCTTTGGCCTGTTTCACTCCTGCATCTCTCAGCTGGTCTTAGGGAGGTTCCGTGACACCTACGTGGTACCTGTGGGATGCATCCACAGTGAAGTCGGAGCTGCCAGAGGTTGCTAGGGGGTGGGACAAGGAAGGGTTAACAGATGGGGCAGAGGTTGGTTTTGGAGAGCCAGTGAGAATGTTTTGATACCTATTTCCTGCTACTGAAATTTGAGTCTGAGTGAATTGTCCCTATTTCTGATGATGTTGGTATTGCAGAGCGACAGATTCACAAAGTCATGATCAAGTCTTGCTTTCCAGGTGTGTTTCTAAGAAATAGAGCCAACTGGTTTTGTATGTCAATAGCAAGAGCGATTTACCGGGTACTAAACCTGCATCCCCATGCGGTCCTCACCCCGTTCCCCTCACCCCATTCCCCTTCCTACTGATCTGGA